GGAGTCGGAACCGACTCATAGCGACCCTGTACAGGGTTTCCGAGGGTGTAAATCTTTACGGGAGTAGAAAGCCTCCTCTTTCTCCCGCGGAGCAGCTGGTAGTTTCGAACTGCTGACCTTGCGGTTCACAGCCCGAGTCGTAACCACTACGCTACCAGAGCTCCTTTAAAGGATTAATAGCCTACATGAAATACAGCCTTCCCTGATCTGGGACCAGAAGAACTAAATGGTTCCCAGCTACACTACCAACTGTTCTGACCATGAACACAATGAAGGTCCTGGATATAATGGGAAAAAAAATAATGTAGAACAAAATTCAAATTGCTAAAAAAGCACAGACCTACTGGACCAATAGAAACTAGAGGAACTTTCAAAACTATAGTTCTAAAATACCCTTTGAAATTCAAGCTAAAGCTTTTTCTAGAGATCACCTTTTAGCCAAATGATAGATTGGCTTATAAAATAACCAATATCACCTGTGAGTAATGTACTCCCTTAAATAATCACTGTTGCGGTTAAGTGCCGTCAAGTCGGTTCCGACCCATAATGACCCTGTATGGGGATTCCGAGGAGCACCTGGTGAACTTGAATCGAGGACCTTGCAGTTCAAACATTACATTCAAGCTCATTAACCCACAACGCCACACCAGGACTCCAAAATAATCAAGTATATGAGACTAAACAGTCAACATTTAGCCTAAAGGAAAGATGAGAAGCTTAGGAGTGGGAGGGGAAGATTAGATAGTGATGACGGGACAAACAAAATGGAAATAATGAGAATGTGGACACATTGTGAAAAGTGTCAACAATGGCACTGAGCAATCTGTACTACACTTCTTACATGGGAACCAAATCTGCTATGTAAGCTTGTACCTAAAACACAACAGAATATTTAATATAAATTATTAAATAAAGGTGTTACATTAAAACCATTAAAAAAAAAAAAAGATTGAGGGTTGTGTCACTCTTCAAATTTCCCCAAAATGAAAAAGTTGATTCTATTATTTTCTATAATTTTTTGTTTAAAACATGTAGTTTATATTGGTGAATTATTAATAACACATACAACTTGTTAGCCGTGTCTATTGACATTATCTCATTGATCTGATACAAATAAAAATAAAGAATTGGTAGAGAAAGGTAAAAGAGATATCCTTCTAGTGAACAAAACTTACTCTGTTTACTCCTTCTCATTTTCCTTAGAAAAAACAGAAAAACATTTTAAGAATAGGAATCCAGAACCTTGGCTCACCTTTGTGGGGAGATGACGTTTGTTGTGCAGAAAACCGTGACAACAGTCACAGTCTTACCAAGTTCCTCTATGTTCTCCGTGGTCTTCTAAGGACCTCTCTTTCAGCTTGTATCATTACAATGCCATCACATCTCATCCAGGTAAGAACTTCCCAAAACTCCTTCACCCTAGTTAGTGGTACGTTGTGGTTGTTAAGTGCCATTGAGTCAGTTCTGACTCATAGCAACACTGTATGGGGTTTCCTAGGAGCAGTTCCTGGGTTTGAACTGCTGACTTTACAGTTAGCAGTCTAGTGCTTGTCCTCCAATGTCACATCAGGGATCCAGTGGTGCACAGTTAAGAGTAATTTATAAATGATCTGTGAATCAGGTAAATTATTTTCAATATGCCATTCAAATATCAGGGTTTTCAGATATTTGAAATGCCAATTGTTGTTTTCTTTTTTAAAAAAGACTCAATTATTAAAATTGTATGTATTGTGTTTTTGATATGCACTAAATGCCTGGTAAGTTTATCTATACTGATTTCATTATTCTCTGACTTGTAAATTTGCTATGATCACTATGATGTGAAGGTGACTTTTCCTGTGATATCTTTTCATTGATTGCTGATCTGAACAGTCCAAATTTCCTAATTACCTCTCTGTTTCTATAGATAATCCTATTTCTGTATATATTCTTCAAGAAGATAGTCTCAAGAAAAGATTTTCCACATAAGCTTTAAAAAGTTCATTTGTTAAGAGTGATCAAGGGACAAATCTGGGAGTATTTCATTATTTTTCAAGTAATTAATTGCATATATGAATATTATTCTTATTTACATACATATGTTGTTGTTGTTGTTGGGTACCATCGAGTCATCACAGTCAACTCTACTTTGAGGAGACAACTCTTCCCCACTAGTATTTTGAGTGCCTTCCAACCCGAGGAGCCCATATTCTGACACTTTATCTGGCAATATTCTGGTACTTTTCATTATGTTTCAGTATTCAATATTCTGTTGCTGACAGTGTTCTATTGCTATTCATAAAGTTTTCAGTGACTAAACATTTGGAAGTATTCCATCCCTCCTTTTTTCTAGACTGTCTTCATCTGGATGTTCAGCTGAAAGCTTTCTACCATGGGTGGACCTGCTTGTATTTAAAATACCCATGGCACACACAGCCTCATGCAACATGCAAGCCACCACAGTATGACAAACTGACAGACAAGTAATGGACATCTCATTACATAGTATTAAAAAATCTTTTAGCTAAAATATCCACCATCTATATGGTCTGTTGTTAGCACCTTATTGCTGAGCAGTTTTCCCTTATAGACATAGCTTGTTTTATTATACTTCACTTTCTTGCACAACAGTTTTTTGTTTTTTTTCTTAACAAATTAAAATTTGTAGCAAACTTGCATCAAGCAGGTCTATCACATGTGCTCACTTCATATCTTTCTGTTATTCTCACAAGATTTTAAAATTTTATAATACTATTGCACATTTAATAGACTACAGTATAATGTTAGCACAACTGTTATATGCTCTGGAAAACCAAAAACTTTATGTGACTCACTTCATTAAGGTTGTCTGGGACCAAACCCATAGTATTTCTTAGGTATACTTGTATATGAATATGTAACAATTTATTTTTCACCAATTGGTGGACAATGGGGTTGTCTTCTGTTTGAAGCTATAAATATTAGTGCATATGTCTTTGTGTGGGTATATTTTCAATGCTCTTAGAGTAATTACTGGAAACCTGGTGGTGCGGTAATTAAAGCACTTAGTTATTAACTGTAAGGTTCAAATCCACCAGCTGCTCCATGGAAATAAGATGTGGCAGTCTGCTTTTGTAAAGATTTTTGAAGTTAAAGATTCTTTGAAGTCACACACGTATTACACATTTAAAGTCTTAGAAACCCTTCGGGGCAGTTTTTCTCTTTTCTGTACGATTGCTATGAGTCAGAATCAAGTCAATGGCAGTAGGTTTGGGTTTGGAGTAACTGTTGGATATAATTTGTTTAATGGATAGTTATAAGCTTAACTATAAGAACCTGTCAAATTGTCTCCAAAGTGCTTGTATCATTTAACACTCCTGGTGTTGTGCTGTAGGATAAGCACTCGACCTCAAGATCAGTTTGAACCACAAGTTCAGTGGTTCAAGCTCAACAGCCACTCCTCAGAAACCCTATATAGGGTCACTATAGTCAGAACTGACTTGACAGCACTTAACAAGAACATCAAATATGTATGAAAAATTCTCATGCTCAGCAGTCCCTCCAGAAGAGCATGGTAGCTCTGTAGGAGAAGCACTGGGCTATAAGTCCCAAGGACAGGCCACTAGCTGCAGAAAAAAAGATAAAAAAATAGAAGCATATTTTTTATGCAAAACAAAAAAAAGTTACAGAATAAACATATTTGTGTGTGTATATAAAGTTTATTTTTTTAATTTATTCCCAAGGGACTTTTGGAGAGGGGAAAGAACAAACAAACTGGAAATATTTATTTATTTTTATATCAAAATATTTAGGAAATAGAAGCACAGTCTAGGAGGACAATTTTGTCAATTGGCAAAGCACAATACAAAACTACCAGCTGTTCTGCAGGAGAAAGATGAGGCTTTCTGCTGCCGTAAAGATTTGCAGCCTTGGAAACCCTGCGCAGGGTCACTATGAGTCAGAACTGACTCCACAGTACTTAACAACAACAACAATACAAAAATAATGTTCTGCATCCTGACGTGGTGAGTAGAGTCCTGGTGTGGTGCTGTTAAGATAAGCATTGTCCTGCCAACCATAAGTTTGGTAGTTGAAACCCACCAGCCACTCCTTGGAAACCCTGTACAGGGTTACTGTGTGTCAGAACCGACTCAATGAAACTTAACAAGTGTGGTGAATAGCATCTTAAAAGCTTGTGAGTGGTCATCTACGATACAACTATTAATCGTGATTTATCTGGAGAAAATAGGAATTAAGGAAACTAAAGTTTCAAAAAAAAACAGAATTAGATGGTGCCTAGTTACTACAACTGACCATTCTGAGCAGTGGCACATTAGAAATTCTTGAGAAACTGGGAGAAAAATGTAGAACACAACTCAAATTCCAAAAAAAGACCAAATCTGTTAGCCCAACAATCTAGAGGAGCCCCCAAGACTATAGCCGTAAGATAATCTTCGAACTTGGGATTGAAACTGTATCTGCAGATCACCTTTCAGTCAAATATGGGCTGATTGATACAATAATGACTATCACCCATGAATAATGATCTCCTTTACACAATCAACTATATGAGACGAACAGTCAATATTTACCCAACAGCAAAGATGAGAAGGCAAGGAGGAGAAACGTGATCACTGAAAACATAAAAAACAAAATGGAAATAATGAAAATGTTCACACATTGTGAAAATTATAACCAATGGCACACAACAATTTTTATATATTATTAACACAAACCCAACTTCTGCCATCTAGTAGATTCCAACTCATAGTGACCCAAACAAGGTTTCCAAGAATACATCTCTACACAAACACAGACAGCCTCATCTTTCTCCTGCAGAACTGCTGGTGAGTTTGAACATCAACCTTGTGGTTAGGAATACAGTGCTTATCCCACAGTGCCACCAGGACTCCTTAAATATTGTTAAACGGGAACTTAATTTGATGTGTGTATTTTCATCTAAAACACATTAAAATATTTTTTTAAGATATATAGACAATGTTTGTTGAAAATAATCATGATATAAACAAGGGATAAAACTTAATAACGCTTACTGGCAAAAGAAATCACAATTTTCAGCAAAGGATAAAGAAACTGGAAGCAATACGCTTAGAAAGCTAAGCAAAAGCATGTGGATATTCAGAACCATGGGACTATGAATTTATTTAATAGAGTGCTTTGGGCCAGATGCTATCCTATACACTTTTCAAATTTTAACTTAATTCTCATAATAGTGTGGTTGACAGAGAGACCTGAGGAATCATTTAGCCTTGATCAATCTTACTTTCTCAGCCTCAGCTTTATCATCTGTAAAATTGGCACAAATAATATATAATCCATAGGATCATTCATAGGATTAGTGATAATATGTACTATCGTGTTGGTAAGGTGGAGGGTCAGAGAAAAAGAGGAAGACCCTTAAAGAGATGGATTGGCCAAATGGCAGCATCGATGGACTCAAGCATGTAAACAGTAGTGAGGTTGGCCCAGGATCGGGCAGTGTTTCGTTCTGCTGTGCATAAGGTCGCTATGGATCTGTACCTACTCAATGGCACTTAAAAACAACAAAGTACTTGCACATAATTGGCACTTAATAAATATTAGCGATTGTCTTTTTCACTGTCATTGCTTAAACAGACCTCCAAAATTTAGATTTGAAAAGAAATTAGCCTACAGAAAATCAGGTATGCAAGCCTACACTAGAAACCTTCAGCTTACTGCTTCTTTTTATGAAAGTAACAGGGTCTATTTATATGGAAGATCAGAATCAGGCTAAGATGTTGTTAGTCAAATTGACTCCAATTTAAGGCAACCTTATATATAACACATAGATAAAATATCCAACCAAATCTTGGTAACATCACAGTGCTATAGCAAGACTGTTTTTAACATCACATGTCAGCTTCTTCTCTAATATGATTGGCGCCATCCTTGGAGACTGCATATTATGGTTTAAGTGAAGATGGGATGGCTTAGGGTAATTTAGCGTATTTATTCAGTCAACAAATACTTATTGTTGGCACTATTTCAGACCTCAATGGGGGTACAATAGTGAACAAAACTAAGTACCTATCCTCACAGAGCATTTTAGGCAATGTAAACTATAGAATGGATAAAGCAGGTATTTAGTATATGTATGTGTTTGGACACTAGAACTTGGAAATTGATAGTAAAGTAGTTCCTGGAAGGAAATAGAAATTTTAAATTGAATTTTTTTTTATGAATTGAAACTTCTATACATAATACCATTGTAAAATCTTTATTCTAATGTATTATATAAGCTACTACAAATCTGTAAAATATCTATAGCCCCTAGATTGGTAAAATAGCCAATCCATGTTTTTGAGTTATTAGCATTCTGTCAGACTTGTACAGTAATGATTAGTTACCCCTCTAGTATACCTTTGGCATGCTTCCCATGTTTAATTTCATTG